TAATTATTAAAACTCATTCTGGCATCTTTCCATCCTGGGATGAATCCTAATCACAGATAAGAGGAAATTGGGTATCTACTACAGCTCTCGCTTCTAAATGTGGGCGCCACAGGTTAACATCATGTGCGTTGGCCATAAAGGGCCTGTTGTTAGAGCAAGACGAGAATAAGTAAACAGGTGAGTGTCAGGTATACATATAACTGAGAAGGAAAGAACTTCTTCCACACCAATCCAGAGAAAGGAGATACTACATATGTAACTACATTATGGGGCAGACTTAATGAGAACAGAAAGAATCACAGGGGTTTAAGTCATATTCTCCAGTTTCTAAGAATTTCATATGATACAGAATAAAATCCATCATCGTCATAGTCATCACTAACAAATATGTATTTCTTACCCAATGCCAGACATTGTGCCAAAGTCCCTGAAAGTATTATCTTATTTACATCAATCACAGTTCCTACCCACTAGAGATTATTTTTTTTTCTAAAATTCTGTATCCTTTCCTTAAATATAGACTTATAAAAGAGTTTGCAAGTTAAATTTCTAATGATCTTACCCTATTATCCTCACAAACAGAAATTCATGTTTATCAAACTTTCTGGAAACTTATTTTTTAATATTCCAAAGCCAGGGTCCAGATGACTACGTCCCAGATGCTCCACGAAACCTCAGGGTTGACCGCTCATGAACTTGAACTCCTCTCAAGTATTCAAGCTTGCAAATGTCCAGTCCCTTAGAGTCACCCACTGTCATTTCTTCCCCGTGTGCAGCTTTCTAGTCTGCTAACCATTAGTTTCATCATCCACGTTAACCTTAACCTGGAGACCAACCCTTTGCTCTGTGAGGAAGGCCATTGGTGTATAATAAAATGCAAGTCCCTCGTTCCCCTGCTGATGGAGGACCTTTGTGGCAAGTCCAGGCAGGCTCTTCATAAACGTCCATCACAAAACTCACTCCACCTTGTCAAAGAAAGAAGAATGAAATAGCTAAGTTCTGAATTTAGAAGAGAGAGCCAATGAGCCTCAGTATGTCCCAAGCCAATTGCCACACTGATTATGTAAAAATGTGTGTTGCTTCTGGTACTTGATTTGCCACACAGTTTAACAGAAAAGTAACTTTATCTATTTTTCCAATTAAAGGAAGCAATGTTACAATCAATATTTTCTCCTTCTCTGGTGTGGTAAATTAATGTCTGTCTATTGTTTTTAAATCACAAAGTGAGCATTGCTATAGAAATATAAAATGGTACTATTTCATTTTAATCTATTTAATTTTCCATTCTTGAATTACATAATGGGGTTAAAACATTGAATAGAATTAATAGAATGAGTATTTAATTAAGCAATAATGAGTTTCTAAATGGATGCTCAAGGAAACTGGCTTTATAGTTTATGCAAGAATCAGATAATGGTCTTAAAGACTATAATAATTGTGTTGAATGTTTTCTATATTTAAAGATTTTTTTTTTTCCTGAATTCTCTCAGGAGTAGATTTAAACATACTCCAGTTCCTTGATTAGACTACACTTTGTTTTTGAAAGTAAATTCCAAACGCCTTTCTATGGCCCGCAAGGCCCTGCGGAGTCTGGTTCTCTCCTGCTCCGACAGCAAACATTCTCCCAGCCCTCACCTGCGCCCCGGCTTCAGCACAGCCCCTCTGCCCGCAAGTGCGCCCTGGCCCTCCCTCCCCTGGCCTTCGCACCTGCTGCCCCACTGCTGGGATGCACTTTCCCTTTCACTACCGCCTCCTCTCCTTTCCGCTCCCAGGGAGTTCTGACGGCCCTCCCGTCTGGGTCAGGGGCCCTCCACCTCTCGCCTTCTCCAAGGAACTGTTATTTCTCTCCTAGCGCCTAACACATTTTTACAATTATACATGTGCCGCGTCTGTTTTTAAACTACTGTATTTCTAGAGCATAATACCAAATGGTACCTGGCACGCAGAAGCTATCTCACTAATATGTGTTGTCTGGCTGATTGGAAGATGGATGGGTGGATGAATGATGAATGGATGGAGGATGGAGGAAGGATGGGAGGGAGGGAGGGAGGGAGGGAGGGAGGGAGGGAGGGAGTTGGATTGATGGAGGGAGGGAAGAAGAGAGGATGGATGGATGGATGGATGGGTGGATGGGTGGATGGTGGGTGGGATGGGTGGATGGTGGGTGGGTGGTAGGTAAATGTGTCTACATTTCTACATTACTACATCCAAGGACATGTTAGGGCCACAACACATACTTTGAGAATTTTTAGAACAATACCTCCTTCTCATTCTACTTGGATTCATTTGCTCACACACTAAAAAGGTATCCAGTACCAGCCCCTTTGGTAGGTTCCATAGACATGAAAAAAAGTTTCTTGGATGATGCTTCATAGGCTTGTCTTACTTAGACATGACCTGAACATTAATCTTACAAATTGACTCATTTATTCACTCATTCGTTCATCCATCCACCAGATTTTCACATGTCTAACCCTGAGATATGTACCGGGGGTCAGGACTGAATGAACTCCCCATCAGTGCCATAGGTATAGTGACTAAGGTTCTAAAATCAATTTTAAAAAAATAATTTTTAGGGTCAAAGACTATTTTAATTGTTCCCTCATTAGGGGAAAAAAATGACATTTTTAAAGCCTATGAAAACATATTATGGTAGGAGGGGCCAAAGAAGGTAAAAGTGCCCAAGGTCCACAAAAGTCATAATGCAGCCCTGCAGAGAACAAGAGAGATCAGTCCATTCCCTACCTTCCCAGGACATTCAGGGAAGTGGCAGCATCAGGCACCAGTCCCTCTTAGTCTCACCCCTGCGTAGCTTGACCCCTTCCCATTTCCTCTTAGCCCTCGCCTTTGATGCCCAAATCCACTTCCGATACTTAAGACCATTCATTCATTCAGCAAGTATCTACTGAGTCCCTTCTATGCACCTACACGGTGCTCAGGGCTGGAGACAAAGCCGTATGCAAGACAGATGTACATAGAGCCCTAGCTTCCTCAAATCACCACCTGTTCTTATAGCCTACGTCTTAGCCATGTGACACTCACCTGCTCTGATGACGCAATGTCTCACTTAGGTACTGGAGGTGACAGCATGTCTACCTGACTGATGGCTTCCAGCCTCCTCTCTCTAGTCTTAGCACTCCCCACCCCCGAGGAATTGTCTACCTGGTGTTCTAAGGTACAGGTATCAAGAGCCACCAAGACAGGCTATGAGCTGAGGTCTGCTGTGATCAGCAGGGACAGAGAACTAGTCCTCTGAGTTTGGACCACCCAGGGTGAAGGACTGGCATAAGCAATGTGGACCCTGAGTGGGCATGAGGAATAGAACCTGTTGAAAGCAAAGATTACTGGGATCCAGGAAACCTGGAGCTGACCATTGATTCACTAAACAGCTTTGGATAAGCCTCTTCCTTCCTTCCTCCTGTTCCTGTATCTTCATCCGCTCCTGGACACATGGTGGACAATGGGAGTTGGTTGCAGCCCTCCTTCCTGCTGAGCCCAGAAGCACTGTGGGCCACTCAACACTGAGCTCAAGTAGCCTCGCCAATACCCAAGGCTGGCTCTTTCATTGACAACTCTGTCATCCTTGAACTTGGACTCCATCATGCTTCTCACCTTGAGTTTCATAGGAGAATTATGCTGGCAGGTTAAGAAAATACTAATCCCAGGCCTTACCGCAGACCAACTGAACTGGAATAAGACCCTAGGACCCAGGTTTCATGGTTTTGTTTTCTTCTTTTGTTTTTGAAAAGCTCCTGAAGAGCTTCTCATGGGTAGACAGGGCTGAGGACCACCAGTTTAGAGTTCCAGCTTGGGAATTCCGTGACTTCCATGAGGAAGAGGGAAGAGATACAAGATAGGACTTACTTAAACAAGAATCAGAGGAATCGGGCCAAAATAATTTCCCTGGAGCTGGATCTACAGGAGAGCATCCTCCATGCGCCCCCTCATACCAGCTACCTTTCATCCTGGGTGCATGTTCTAAGAATTTCCCATCTCCCCTGTTATGGAAGAGAAACAACTCACCCAGGTTTGCTGAGGTGTGATAGGCAAATTAGTTCCCATCCACTCTCCATACCCCAAGGCATCAAGATTAAGGGTTATGATTAATGATTTGCAAGTCAATTAATCAGCCGCTGCTTTCGAAACCTCATTTCTCAAATTACTTCCTTTGTACACAAAAGCTTTTTGATGTCATCTCACTGTGTCTAGACTTGCTTTCCTACTAATTGAAATTCCAAGATATTTCTTCTTCTTGTCAGCTTATTGGTATTACTTGTTTGTAAAATATTTGCAAATGGATTACTATTCACCTGTACTGTGTCAGAGGTAAATGCCAAAACAATACTTTATGCTTCTGGCTAAAGGAATGCACTAATGATAGCTTGTGAAATTCTCTATCTATGGGAAAGCCAATTTTTCATTTATTGATTTATTTCCACCACACCTACTTGCAACAAGTATTGGAGATGTATTACAATAAAAACACAGGTACAACAAGGCCTCAAACAATTGATTTATATGTTTCCTTAGAAGATAGGTTTTTTGTTGTTTTTTTTTAAATCACGCTAGTTGGGTGCAAGGGGTGGGAAGGATGGAATTGGCTTCCTTCGTTGGTGAAGATGGTACGGTTTGGGCTCTGAGTCAAACATGGAGTTCAGTTCCAGTCCTGCACTGATGAGCCATGACACTGGCTATCTGGTCACCTTTTTCTAGGGTAGGTGAGGCCCCAGACACTAGGCTGCTCCATGTGGTGACTCGGGGACCCAAACCCCTTCTCTCTTGTGGCTCAACCCTCCTCCTGGGCTCTTGTGATTGTCTACATTCAGGTAGATAAGAGAAGAGACACCACTTCCCCATCATAAGCTCCCTATGACATTATTTATTATTAAATGAGATGATATGGTAATGTACCCCATAGAGGCATATGGTTAAGAGTTCCATAAATGGTCTTTCCGATGTTTTCTCGAAATGGGAAGAGTAACCGTCTGCTTTGTTTGCAGTTTCAAGCCACAGTTGAGGAAGGAGCTGTGGGAGTTATTGTCAACTTGACCGTTGAAGACAAGGATGACCCCACCACGGGCGCATGGAGGGCTGCCTACACCATCATCAATGGAAACCCTGGCCAGAGCTTCGAAATCCACACCAACCCTCAAAACAATGAGGGGATGCTTTCCGTGGTCAAGGTAAAGGTGCTGCCCTTGGCTCTTCCCTCCGCATGTGCGTGCTGAGGGCCCACGGTGGGGCGTCTGGCCTCATTGCATGGGGAATGTCCAGGATAAGTCAGCCTAGTCTCTCCCTCCTAAAATTAAAAAGAAAAAGGCTCAGCCCTGGCCAGTTTGGCTCAGCAGTTAGAGCGTTGGCCCACGGATCAATGAGTCATGGGTTCAATTCCGGTCAAGGGCACAAGGGCACGTACCTCGGTTGCGATTCATCCCCAGCCCTGGTTGGGGTTGTGCAGGAGGCAGCCACTCGATGTGTCCCTTTCACGTCAATGTTTCTCTCTCTCTCCCTCTCTCTCTCTCTCTCTCTCTCTCTCTCTCTTTCTCTCTCTCTCCCCCCCCCGTTTTTCTCCCTCCCACTCTATCAGAAGAAAAAAATGGAAAAATGTCCTCAGGTGAGGATAAACAAAGAAAAAGGCTCATGGCTTAAAGGTGTGCTCATATCCTCACAGCTATGAAACCAACGTCTTACAGGTTCCACAGAACTCAAACATAGGTGTAACCTTAAAAAAATCCAAACTTAATTTTTAAATGAAATTCTCCAGGTGTTTAATAGTGAATTATCAAAAATATGCAAAAATACAACGTGTGAAGATTTTTGAAAAGATCTACGCTCGACATGGGGATTATTACCTTGCTTCTTCATCTCTCTTAGCAGAGGCTCAGTTATCCCTTAGAAACAGGAGATAATTACAGCCACGGGCTAATCCTCGGTGAGAAGCCTCCTGCTGGCGCTGCTGCCCAGCGTGCTGACCCTCTCTGGTTGCAGGTGGCACACGGAGAGAATTCGATAATGAATGCCAAGCCCCAGGCTCCAGCAAGAGCTCCAGAAACGCTGGGTGGGGGCAGAACGTTCTGGCCATCTCAGGGTCCGAGGAGAAGGGTTTTCACTCCCTCCCACTCTCTCTGGGAAGTTCGGGAAAGAGCTTCTGCCAGACCAGCACATTCATCAGAACAGCTTCTTTTCTGGTGGGTGGAGCCTTTTGCCTCCAAAGCGGAGAATAATCCTATTTATAGTCATTGTAGCCATGGACAAAGCAGGAGCATTGCTTCCTACTCTGTGTGCCCTTGGCCAAGAATCCTAAGTATGTGTCCTGTGCCTCAGTTTCCTCGTCTGTAAAACGAGGGCGATAATACCATCCTCCTCTTGGGGCTGTTGTGAGGAATCCGTGAGGTAACATCTCGGACAGGGCGGCATTAGCACCTGTGTGCATGTCCTGAGGCTGCTGTGATGGATGACCACACACTGGGCGGCTCAAACATGTACATGTGTTCTTACACTTTGGGGAGCCTGAACTCCAAATCCATTTAGCAGGGCCTTTGTTGCAGGGCTGGGTCCTTCTGGAGGCTCGAGGGCGGGTCTTGTCCAGCTCCTGCAGCCGCCTGCATCCCTGGCTCACGACCCCTTGCTCCACCTCACGGCCAGCAGCACAGCAGCTTCGCATCTGTCTGACTCTGTCCCTCTGCTTTTGTCGTCACAGCTAATTCTTCCTTTGACTTTCCTGCCTCCCTCTTTTAAGGACCTTTGTGATGATATTGGGCCCCTGTGGATAAGCCAGGATCACCTCCCCATCTCAAGGTCCATAGCTCAATCACATCTGCGAGTCCCTTTTGCCATCTAAGGCAACATAGTCACAGGCTGCAGGGATTAGAACGACAGACATTGGAGGGGTCATTATTCAGCCTATTGTGGGGCCATATAAACAATGACACCCACAAAGCTCCGCGGTGCCCCTGAGGGCAGAGCCATTAAGGACTGAGATCTTGGACAGCTTCCAGCTTGCTCCAGGGCATGGGCTCTGGGTCCCTCCCAAGCCTGCCCTTTCTGGTACCTCATCCAAATGACCCTCAAATGTTTGCCTAGAAAGAGCAGCCTCTGGGTCCCCTCAGTTCTTCTTCCCTAATAACACGTGCAAAGGCAGAGTTGTTAGGAGACCCTGACCCTGCAAAGCTGTGAAAGTCCAAAGGACACAGCCACTGGCCGTCCTCTCCAGCCAGCCCTAGAACTATAGAAGGCGTCAGGCAGTTTCCCAGGCCTGCGAAGCTTGGGTAAATGTCCTGGAGGAGTGCAGTTTTCCAGGCACATGCTTCTGTTCGCACAGCGCTGTGCCTCTGAAACGTCAGCGCGTAGGAGCGTCACCCGGAATACTGGTCAAAATGCAGGCCAGGCCATGCCTGCTGCATCAGAGCTCGCGGGAGCGGGGCCCCAGGTGCTGCTGGTGTTCACGGAGCACAGCCCTGTGGGTGAGGACTGCCGCAGAAGGAGAAGCTTCCACCTGCTGACTCCTGGGGATCCGGTGCCCACGGAGCGTGGGGTCTGCCCGGGCTTGGGTTTTGGGTTTTTCTAGTGAGTGGACTTCCTGTGCTTCAGAATCAGAATGGAGACTCGCCTCCCTTCAGCTGCCTGCCCCGTGAATTCCCACAAAGGCCTTGCACTCTCTCTGCTTCTCAGCACACCAAGGTCAGAGCCCGGGACAGCCTCCTAGAGGCAGGCCTGGCCACGCTCCTGCACTCTCTGCTCCACCAGCAGCCTGGTGCATTAGTGAGGAATGCTTTCAGCTGCAGGTCACAAAATGCCAGGCTGATAGTGGCTTAAGTAATAAAGAAAATGTAATGATCTCCATAAGTAAACAAAGGTAGGGCAGTCTAGGATTGGCTGGCAACTCAAAGTGTCAGAGAGACAGCACAGGACAGTGTAGATGCTGCTGGCTTTTTCCTCATGGGCACAAAATAACTGCCAAAGCCCCAGGCATCACATCTTCCCAGAGCTGTGGTGCAAGACAGGAAGCAAGAAGGCAACTAGGCGAGAGAGAGAACTAACTCTTGTGTGCCCCTATCTTCTCATTGGGGAAGAAACTATTTTTCTACGGGTCACCCAGACAGTTTTTTTATGACATGTCATTGGCAAGTTGACACGTGTCCACCCTCAACTGCAAGGGGGGCTTCTGCAGTAAGAGGTGGGAAGGTAGTTCTGCCCTAACCAGCCAGCAGCCGGCGCACTGAAGAACCAGAGGAAGTCGGGACTCTGTGGTCTGCAGGGCAGTCCGGTCTCCCTACGGACCAAATCCTCCTGGTTCTGGTAAATGAGCCCCAGTTTCCTCTGGAAAACCTTCTGGTCAGAAACAGCGTTTATTGCTTTGTAACCCTGTTTCAAAATGTCAGCGTCATTCTTCCAGCCAAATATAATCCACCTGCGTTTTAAGTCTGTTTTGTCTTTTGTCCACAGAGGAGAGGGAAACATCAATAAGCAGGCATCCCTGATGCCCTAACCCGTCAGACTTCAACATCAATGTTAGATTACTTTCAAATCCCCTTCCAGACAGCAACCCCCTGCTCCTTCACCCTGCCTGTGTGGGCCAGCTTTTCCAGCCTTTGAATCCCCAGGACAGCGGTCCACACCCTCTCCCGACGCTTGATGAAGTATTCATGGAGCTGGATCTCTGTAACTTAGTTGTAAGCATTTTCCGTTTCCTGCCCTCCCCGCCACAGACCCTACACCAGACAAGTCATATCAATAGGGTCAGAGGCCCGAGACAACAGAAGGCTTGTCAATCCCACATGACCCAGGGCAGGGACCCAGCGTTTCCCCAGCTCTGGGTGCACAGTCCCCGGGCATCGCACAACCAGGACTGCTCCCTGCACTGTGGAGGTGAACGGGAGAGAGGTGCTGCTGCAGGACAGCCAGCCTGCACCCCAGCCTGCACACCACTCTCTGCACCCCTCTCAGGCCATTGCTCACAAATCCACGCCTGGGCAGCAGCATCCCCGGGAGCACACAGAACAGCCAGGCGAAGGCAGGGGCTCTAGAGCCCTTTCCACATTCTTCTTTCTCACCATCTTAACAGCTTGTCCTTAGATCAGACTCGACCAATCTCTGCGTGAAACGTCCAACACGTATCATCTGCCCCAATCTGTACGACAGTCCTCTGACCTGGGACTTGACTGGGAGGGGCGGTGATGGGCTGATGGTCCGATAAGTCCTATAGTCATTAACATCAGGGCCAGGACTTGACCCCGACCCCTCTTGTATTTGGGAGCGAAGATGACGCTTTCACCTAAGTCCATTGCTTCAGCTGGACCAGCGGCCCCAGGCAGGTGGAGGGCAGGGTCACAGCCACATCACATGTAGAAATACCTCCTGCTGTGGCAGGCTGTCTGCTATCTCATCAGGGCTGCTCACTGATCCTGAGAGTGGGACAGTCCACCCTTGTGTTGGACTGTCCTGGACACGGCTGTGTGTCTCGTATCCCTGCTCCTGCCCAGTACATGTCCAGAGAGCCCCCAAGCCATGGCAACCATCAAAAATGCCCCCTCATATTTTCAAACACCCGCAGGTGGGAAAGGGCCCAGCGGCTTAGCCCCCTGTGTCTCAGCCTCTGGAATTATTTTCCTGCACGACGCCCTCATGGAAAATGCGTACCTGTGCCAGAAAGTGCTGTGGCCACCCCAGCCCTTCGACCACGTGGCGAGCAGGGGACACATTAGAAAAGGAACCTTGGTTTGCCATTCCCATGAGATCTCTCTGTGCCAGCGGCAGGGTTACTGTGGAGCTGACGAAGCTTCACCTCGTCCACCTGAGCCCCCACGCGTGTCGGAGTTGTGGAGTTAGAGTTTACAGGTGGGAAGTCCATGAGTCGCCTAAAGACATCTGAGAAGGGAGGCCCCAGGTCTCTGAAGTTCACTACTGAGTAATGCGTTGCCATTTCTTTCTCAATCTCAAAGGAATAACAATATTCATACCTAAATTTGTGTCTATATATTTCATATTTTTTTCTTTCTTTCTTTTTTTTATCCTCCCCCAAGGACATTTTTGCATTTATCTTCAGATAGAGTGGAAGGTGGAGAGAGAGAGAGAAACATTGACGTGAGAGAGACACATCGAGTGGCTGCCACCCACACAACCCCACCAGGGGCCGGGGACAAACTGCAACCGAGGTACGTGCCCTTAGCGGGAACTGAACCTGGGTCTCTCTGGTCCGCAGGCCGACACTCTAACCGTTGAGCCAAACCGGCCAGGGCCAGATTCTTTTTCTTAAAGAGGACCCCGCATTGCATAAAACTTAGCCCAGAAAGCCTGGATCCATCCCTGAACATCCACCCCTGTTCGTGGGACGTCAGAGAAACTTGATGCCAAAGGGTCCGCCCTGTGGGTCCCACACGCTGAGTCCCTCTCTCTGCGTTCCAGCCTCTGGACTACGAGATCTCCGCCTTTCACACCCTGCTGATCAAAGTGGAAAATGAGGACCCGTTGGTCCCTGACGTCTCCTACGGCCCCAGCTCCACGGCAACCGTCCACATTACTGTCCTGGATGTCAACGAGGGCCCCGTTTTTTACCCCGACCCCATGATGGTGACCAGGCGGGAGAACATCTCCGTGGGCAGCGTGCTGTTGACGGTGAACGCCACGGACCCTGATTCCCTGCAGCACCAAACCATCAGGTGGGTGAGCGGCCCCGTAACCAGAGACGGGAGGCAGGCATGCGTGGCTTTTCTTTTCTGGTCTGAGGGCTGGTTGTCAGGAGCAAACTACCATTAAATTAGACTTGTTAACGAGCTGGGTGAGTGGGAGGTACGTGTCATAAGAGTTGTCAGCTGGAGGCGCCAGGGGACAAGGTTTGCTAAGTGGGGACTCTGCCCCCGCACCTGATTCCCAGCAGCCGACCAGACCTTGTAGAGAGTGGCTTGGGGCCGTGTTCCCGAATGACCAGAGGTGTCTGCCAGCGCCCAGCACAGTCCCCAAAGGGAGAGAGAAAGGAACACCATATATGGCCCCATGAATCTCAGACACTTGCCCTACTTTAGTGTTACACAACTTTATGAGCAAGGCATTGGCCAACTCCAGGTACGGAGAAGCGTCGTATGAATTCAGAGTGGTTCAGTACCTTGCTCAAGGCTGCCCAGCTTAGTAGCAGAGGAATCGGGATGAAAATAGGACAATCTGACCAGTCTGTGCTCTGGTCACTTCTACGGATTCTGAACTGTCAGAAAGGGAAGGGGCAGACCTTGCCTAGTATTTAGAAATGGACCGTCAGGGTTGGGTTTTTGACGGATGAGTGGCAAGCCAAAGAAAAGAAGTCAAAACGTGCTTAGAAAGAAGGCATTTTCATAACGAGATTTAATTAAATGATCATTATCCACAGTGCATCTAATGTGAGTGAAGACAAGATGCCCTCGTTGCTACATTGTTTCACAATAAATAATCGGCACGCAGGTCCCAGGGCACGCTTATCTCTGCAAAAGAAAGTTATTAATCTTTCTCTTCCAAAATCTAATCTTCTCATCTGAGGTACAGATAATGAAGTATTAGACACACTTTTAATAAACATGTGTCTTATTTTCCTGATTTGAAACACCTGAAAATGTGCCATGGTCTCCACATCAGCCCCTTAACCGTGGAGCAAGCAGTCACAGACAAGCAGCAGAAATTACTTTTCAATCCCAAAAGGAGATTTTTTAAAAAAGTGTTATTGAATTTATTGGGGTGTCATTGGTTAACAAAATCATATAGGTTTCAAGTGTACAATTCTATGATGTGTCATCCATCTATTGTGTTCCCCAAACAAAATTATCTCTTTCTGTCACTGTTTTTCCTCCCTTTACCCTCTTCTTCCTCCTCCACCCCCCTTTCCGTCTGGTAATCACCATACTGTTGTCTGTGTCTGTGAGGTTTTGTTTGCTTAATCCCTTCACCTTCACCCAGTCCCCCAAACTCCCTCCCCTCTGACAGCGGTCAGTCAGTTTCCTATATGTGTCTGTTTGTATTTTGTTTGTTTATTTTGTTCCTTAGATTCCACATGTAAGTGAAATCGTGTGGTACTTGTCTTTCTCTGACTGGTTTGTTTTACTTAGCATAATACTCTCTAGGTCCATCCATGCGGTCATAAAAGGTAAGATTTCCTTTTTTTTTTTTTTTTTTTTTGTATGGCTAAGTAGTATTCCATTGTGTAAATGTACCACAGCTTTTTTATCGACTCACCTATTGGATGGATACTTGGGCTGCTTCCAAATCTTGGCAATTGTAAATAGTGCTGCTCTGAACATGGAGATGCGTATGGTCTTCGAATTAGTGTTTTGAGTTTCTTTGGATATATTTCCAGAAGTGGAATTACTGGGTCATAAGGCAGTTCCATTTTTAATTTTTTGAGGAAACTACACTATTTTCCACAGTGGCTGCACCAGTCTGCATTCCCACCAACGGTGCACGAGAGTCCCCTTTTCTCCACATCCTCTCCAGCACTTGCTGTTCGTTGATTTATTGATGCCACGTGGCCATTCTGACAGGTGTGAGGTGACATCTTACTGTGGTTCTAATTTGCATCTCTCTGACGATTAGTGATGTTGAGCATCTTTTCATATGTCTATTGGCCATCTTTTTGATCTCTTCGGAGAAGTGTCTTCAAATCCTTTGCTCATTTTTTAGTCGGATTGTGTGTTGTTTTTGCTTTTGAGTTGTATAAATTCTTCATAGATTTTGGATCGTTTGGACTTTAACAATAGGAGGTGGAAGAGAGAGAGGATGAATTTAAGTGGGGTTGGTGTCGCCGAACCCAGACTCTGCCATTGCTGTGCCTTGGGCGCTGCCAGACAAGAAGCTGTTCATGTGATGGGAAAGGTCACATCCCAGTGTCTGGGAGGAGAGGTCCCACTAGGGTGGGTCTGTCAGGGTTGTTTGTTTAAGACCAGCTTTAGTTGACTTAGGCAAAGGGAGAATTTGTTGGAAGATTCCACAGACCATTTATAGTCTTGAAGAATACGTTTAGAACCAGGCCCCAGACTGCAGAGGGCGCTGTTGGAGCTCTATGTAACGGGCAGAAGGGGATGACATGTCAGGGTCTCACAGGAGAAGGGACCACCTCCAGCCACTTCTCAGTGTCACTCCGCCCTTGGTTCACACGCCCAGGGGGTGAATCTGAGTTGCCTGAGCTGGACTCATGGGCCTCCTGCCTCAGGGCACCTTGAGAGTCAACAGAGGCGGTGTTCCCAGCTGCGGCTGCTCGCTACAGTGGGCGTCTGACAGAGGAGGGGAAGGAGGACTATAGTAACAGGACAGCCGCAGTCCCAGCAGACTGAGCCAGGGAACAGGACTGCGGGGGCGGCGGGGAGGGGGGGCTGGCAGGATCCAAGGCATGAGGGACATCAGGACAGGATTTGAGATGCGAAGAACAATGACCCAGTTACTGGAACCGGGGTACAAGGGTTCCCCATTGTATCCCGGTAGAATGTCGGTGGCCCCCACTACGTGACATGAGGTCAGAGGAACAATCCGTGAATTCCTTGAAGTGAGACGAGTGACAAGCAGGCATGCGGGCAGCTCCAAAGAGCCTCGTGCTTCTGCAGTTGGTCATCCCAGGTGCGACCCTCAGTGAGGCGCACATTGCCAGGACCCACCTCAGAGTGACTTGTGCCAAGAATGCATGCATTGGCCCACGTCACTGAGAAAGCCCATGGGGACTAGTGCATTCAGTGTGAGAATTCAGATGCTCAGAACAGATTCTTTCTCTGCCTCTTGGGTCTGCTCTTCCCTGGGTTGCCTTCATCCTCAGCCGTATCTGTGAGGCTGTGGGGAGATGAGATTATCAACAGTCTAGTTCCTGGGTCCTTCCAGCAAAAGGAGACCCCCAGTCAGTAGGACTAGCTCAAGGGCCTGGTCTGGATCTCACCGAGCCTATCAGGACACGTGCCCATCTCTGAACCAAACGAAATAGCAGGAGGGTGGCATGTGCCCGTGAGCAAGTCCTGGTACATAAGCCCACCATGGACCCCAGCCTCTAACCTCGATGGCCTGCAGTGATGGTTTCCCCAAGGAAGGCAGGAGGCTCTTCCCAGAAGATGGGAATGGAGGCTAAGTCTCCAGAAACCATGTAGAGCCACTGTGACCAACTTCACTTGTGTGAATCCTCAGAGAGCTGAGTGTTTCTCTGCAGCAGGTATGCCTAAGAGTTCTAGCATTTACAGATGGGCCTGGCTAAGCAGCTCTGGACAGATCTGCAGATCCTTTTCCAGTAAGTGTGTGTGTGTGTGTGTGTGTGTGTGACACACACTTCTCTCTGTGGCCTGGTTCCCACACACATTCCTTCCTGCTGGGATCCACAGTTGCTGGAAGCAACCCTTTCTCAGCATGGCAATGACTGAACCTCCTTCCCTTTTCCCTACCCTCTCTTCCCTCTCCCCTCCCCCTTCCCTCTCCCCTCCCTCCCTCCCCTTCCCTGCCCTCCCCCTTTCCTCTCCTGATGCTGGTTCTGAGCTCATCAAAAGCAGAAATAACATCACTGACAGGTTGAGCTATTGTCACAGGAACTCTTCTGGGAGAACAGGCTCATTAATTATTTGCAGTCTTTGATCCTGTACACTGAGAAGCAGTGTCCCTGGGGAGCTGCCTGTGCAGAGGGGGAGCAGGGCTGCAGGGAGGGGCCAGGCTGGGACACAGTCTTCTCATAATCTGCACTTGGCTCCCTGGATTTCTCAAAAACACACGATGGCCTTGTGAGTGGTGTTGTTATTGTTGCGTAATTAATGATTCTTCAGGGAGCGGGCATCGAAAGAGGGAAGAAATTTACACAGACAGCTCCTATTGTTATCTCAAAGCGAGCTCTGCATTCAGGTGACAAAGGCCCCCACAGAAAGATGCTGTCCAGCCGTCCGTCCCTAATGGGCTGATTCTCAGCAGTAGCTCTGCCTTGGGCTCCATGGACATGCAGGTTTTTGTGACTGTCCCTGCCTGTCTGTGATTTCGTGTATGTCCACACGACTTTCTCTGTTTCTCTCTCTGTGTTTGTGCCTGGTCCTCTGGGTATATCCTTTGCTCTCTCTGGGTTTTTTTTGTCTCCTTCTCTGTATTTCTGCGCCCTCTGCCCTTTCTCCCTCCCTCTCTCTGTCTACATTTGCATCTTCTTCTCCCTCTATGTCCATCTTTCTTTCCGTCTCTTGGCTATCTGTTCTTCTCTGTTTCAGGTTCTCTCTTCCTCACTCTCTTTCTCTCCTTCTCTGCTTCCAATCCTTCCCTCTTCTTTCTGCTTTACCCCCTCCCCATCCTCCTCCTCCCCACCCTCCTCCTCCCCATCCCCATCCTCCTCCCCATTCCCATCCTCCTCCTCCTCCTCACCCTCCTCCTCCTCTCCATCCTCTTCTTGCTCCTCCCCATCATTCTCGTCCTCCCCATCTTCATCCTCCTCCTCCTCCCCACCCTCCTCCTCCTCCCCACCCTCCTCCTCCTCCCCATCCTCCTCCTCCTCCTCCTCTCCATCCTCTTCTTGCTCCTCCCCATCATTCTCGTCCTCCCCATCTTCATCTTCCTCCTCCTCCCCACCCTCCTTCTCCTCCCCACCCTCCTCCTCCTCCCCATCCTCGTCCTCCTCCCCATCCTCCTCCTCCTCCTCTACCTCCACTTCTCTCTCCTTCTCCCTCTCTCCTCTTTCTTCCTTCTCTTTCTGTCTCTGTCT